CAGTTTGTTTTGAAGAATGACATACTCAGTTTTTACACATCATAAAACATCCTGACAGCAGTTCCTTGGCTCTCTGAACAGTTTAATGCAGTAATGCTGCTGCTGCATCCAAAAATCAGCGAGTCCCAGTTTGCAAAATTAGCCAAGACACAGAAGGGAACTGTGAACCACTGGTGTCTCAGCAGAGCAACCACCCCATCAGTTTTGGGAGGTGGAAAATTCTTGTTGTCTGGTTATCACATCCGGCTGAGGTCTCACCAGGATTTGGAGAAACATTTCCCTGGTCTTCCCCAACACAGACTTTTCCATGTGGTTGCAGAAGTGGTACAGAAATGAGCTGTGCTGCTACTTATATGACTTAATACAACTTGTTGCCATTGCATTTGTTAAGAGGGTAAACAATACTTCCTCTGTCTTCAAACACCTATTGGCATTCCTGTTGTTTGACGACCATTTTAGCCTCTCATGCTGCAATAATGGGTTTGAATAGCTTCGTTAATGACAATTATTGCTTAGAGGAGCACACAATTTAAACTGGATATTGAAATACTCACTTTTTAACAGCCAGTGTGGCATGTTAGAATATGTAATGTTAAAGAGTCATCTTCCTTTGATCATAATTAAATCATTAAGTGATTAAACATCAGCTGATTTTGAGCTTTCTGCTACAAAACACAGCAAGAGACCCAATGCAGCAGTCTGCAGTACGTACAGAAACAAAATTTGAACTGGAATATAGATTTCATATTATCTGGATTTGCTGAAAGTCCACAGTTTTAGCTAGAGGCAGTGAGGTCTGCAGCACTCATCTTCTTTGGTAATGAGGCCTATTTATAGAAATATTTGCACAGGTGTCTTCAGTTTTTTGACTGGTGTAAGACTGGTCGATCTATGGCTACAGAGGAGACCAAATTCACCAGGGCGATTAATTTCCGCTGCTGCCTTTAGACACACACAAGAAATGTTAGTGAGTCAGAAAAATTTTTCCGATTGCCTTTCCCGCAGAGCTTTTAAACAATGTGCCAGTGCATGTCCATCTTCAAACAAAGGTGCAGCTGTCCGGCCTTGGTTTGGAGAGCACGTAGGAATTTGAGACTGCAGATTTCCTCATTACTCCCGGTAGAACCAAACATTCATCTGCCAAGTGACAGCTCATAGCCTCAAGCACCTCGTTAGGGGACTTTGAGTCACGTGGGATACAGCTGAAATGAAGAACAGGACCCTCTAAGTTAACACTTCTGCACCAGGTGTCAAGTAGCCTGCTCCTCTGTGTATCATTTTGATGAGTTAAGGTTTGAGGTTTGGTTTTTTTAAAAGATGGATTTAACCTGTTAATATGCTGCAGGGAACCTCATTCTTACAGACAGCTTTCTGCAGTACTGAACAAACTCAACCTTGCCTGAGAGATGGGCAAATCTGGGGAGATTTATAACATCATGGTGTTTCCAGATTTCCTTCCATCTTTTAAAAAGGACCTTTGTACCAGTTATTCTGTTATGTTTATAAAAGGAATTTATATCTTATCTGTTATTAAAATTAAGCTCCACTATTGGATATGTAAAGATAGAGTCTCTAGGTGGGTTTTCTTATTTTAAAATTAAATAGAACAATTTTGTTTTGCTCCCCACATTTAAGCTGATGTTATATTCATTAGCAGCTGAAGAAGCTGCTTGGGTAATTTTCCAAGTCTGGACAAGCCTAGATTAAGCATGTAGCATCAGTCTGGGTACCTATAAAGTCTCACTGGCCTTTTGCTGGAGGACACTCAGTGAATTTTATGGCTTTGTATGGGAGTTAGGTAAGGATGACCTACAGCCACTGCTGCACCAGGGTCCCCTAACATGCTCCACTTCTATAAACAGCAACGACAGTTGCATCACTCATGATAGGTGCCAGCTGGACTTGTTGAAGGGGAAGCCCCTGTGAGTGCGTTCAGGAGCGTGAAGTACATGTCCTCCTTTCTGCTGAGGAACAATCGTTCCTGATACTGCTGGGGTTTACCACCTGCCCTGTCTGCAGCTGCAGCATCTGCTTCCATCTCCCACGCACCATCCTCTCTCTTGCACGCAAACGGGGCAACCCCAACAGCTTATTCATTGTTTTCCTTGCTTTACTATGGCATAACGGAGCTGGCTGCCAAGCCAGCCGCAGTCCTGTAGTCTTCTCATAAATTGCTAGATCCGATTTACAGAAGCCCTGGCTCTTCCCTGCTGAGATCTTGGAGGATGTGCACCGCAGCTCCTTTCAGCTTGGGTACAATTCCCTTTTCTTGAGCCATATCCCATGAATGTGCCTCTGTCTTGTGTGCCTTGGCAACAGCTTCTGCACAGCCCAACACTGGACGGATCTAGTTGTTCAGTGCCTTATCGCTGATGCAATCTTTTCCTCCTATGGAAAGTGAGACTGAAATTGCCTAAATTAAGAAATTGTGGTAGCCTTGAAACATAAAGCTTCCTTTCTACTTTGACTGTTTTTGTAGTAAGGCTGCCATAATTATGTTCTTCTCTTGTGTTTACTGGCGTAGGAAAGAATGTGTGATTGGGATTTTATGGCACTTACAGCTTGGTATTTTTCCCATGAACTATTTGAATGAATCGCTCTTGGATTTTTAGCACCTTCTTTCCACTTCTGTGTGGCGTTGGGCACAGTCAGAACAGAGAGAAGATACTCCCTTGAACATGAAGTTTAAAACCTGATGATCTTAGAGGGTAGACTTTTGTTATCTCAGCAGATCCAAGATCCAGCCCTTTGGATGGTTTGTTGTCCCTTTTGATTAGGAAGGAGCACAGCTGTGAAGAGGGAAAACATATGAGTCACAATCGGAGGGCTGCAGTAGCTACAGTTCTCCCTTCCTCCAGCCAAGCCCAGCCCTCTTCTCAGCAAAATATTTAGAGTTTAATTCTGGAAGGACAAAAGCTTTCAGTTACAACTCTCCATGAGTTTCTCAGGTGTAATACTCTATTCCTTCATTAAAGCTGCTGCCAGAGGATGTTGTCTTGGCAGGGAACAGCCTGACTTAAAGTCTTGTACTGATATTTTAGCATCCTAGTTTGTGACTTGCTATTAAAAATGCTATAAATCATGGAAGTAGCAGTGAGTATGGTTGGGATTTTACCTGGCTGTTTTTCTCTCGTTTGATCATCATGTGGGCTTGAAGAAATTGTGTGATCTCTCTGGACCTCCAAATATTTGCAAACCAGGGATGGTATCTATAGAGTGGCATTGAGAGAGTGTTTACTGCACCTCAGTATGTAAAACATACCTTCTTGAAGTAATTATTACACCAAGAGGAAACTCTGAAAGGGCAAATTCGGACATTTGGACCCTTAGCAGATCTGAAACCTCACTGCCTGCCATGTCAATAAATTCTAAACAGTGCTGTTTTCAAACAGTAGCCAGGGTAAAGCATTGATGAATGTTTTTGTAGCTTTCGTTTTTGTGTAAAGCGTGTGGAGGAGACATTTCAGGCGTTACTGTAGCATTAGTCCTTCATGTTTCCCATAATTTGTATCATCCCTGTATTGCCCTTGGCATGTAAGCAAGCCTCTTATAAAGCTTCTCTCTTTAGAAGTTTCATAAACAAGTCAAAAGAAGTGTCTTGCTTGACAGGCAAGGCTTGAGAACTTACTCTCTGAACCATTGTTTGTACATATCAGTATCTTCTAAAGCAGCATACTTACCTTTGAGAGAATTAACATTCTTCTTCCCTTCTTTCTTCCTAATGTGTGCACAATAGGACTTCAGCTGATTAAGGCTGCAAGTAGATAAAGGGGACAATAAACCATCGTGGCTTTGTTTTTCCCTTAAAATAATAATCCTCACAATAATCCCGAAGCTCTGTTTCATAGCAAAGACACAGCACTTGAATTCCTGAAGTATTTAATTGGTGGTTTTTCTTACTCAGGCTTGTCAAGCAGCCTGATTGCTCTAGGGGGCTTTTCCACATTTTGAGGCAGGGCGACTGTTTCTCCCCAAATCACGACAAACGAGTTCTGCTGTGTAACTATAGCAGTCTTCCTTAGCTATGTGGCTTTGTGTGCTTTCATGTGAAGGAGAGTGTTGGCTGCAACTCTCTTGAAAGCCTTTAGCAGTTTGGAAAGAACAATTTGCCCGAGATGTAATTTCTTTTACATGACTGGTTATCTGGAGTTTGTAAGAGCAAACTAGCTCGGCCACTTCTCATTCTTTTCCGTGCTGTGGTCTCATTTTTACAACAGTGTCACCAGGCTACCACATTGTTCTTGGGAAGAGCTACAATCTATCAGCGGTAGCCAGATACTTCAGAGCTGTGGTTAAACATTCCTGAAATATTTAGGGAAAGCAGATGATTTTGCGAGAAGTTTTTGTGCTTAATTGATAGGAGCATGGTGCTTACTTTGTCCAGTTTTATTGTACATCCATGAAGAATCATGATGATCATGAATTCCTTAATACAACAAAGGAAATAAAAGATTACTGGGAAGTGTTAACTCAGGGTTCAGCAGTTTATCAAGAACGTACAACATGCTGCAAACAGCTGACTATCACTGTCTTAAATTCCTAATCTTATCTCAAAAAAGTAGAACTTCCCAACTGTTGGCCCTGGTATGTGTTGTCAAAGTCTTCCAGTGCACCATCTTGAATTGCTATAGGTGTAAAGGCAAGGTATGAGCTTTCATATGTTAATGAATGCCTTGTCAAAGTCTACCACATACAAGGCTTGCTGCCGTAAAATTCTTACCTTATCTTGTGCTCCATATTAACATTTGCTGGTGTTGGTTTAATTTATCAACTTAGATGGGATGGCTTGTGATAGTTCATATTTGCAAAGTGATAGTTCAACATTATGTTTCTAATCTTAATGAAAATCCAAGGCCTTCAGATATTCAGGTTTAGTCAGTAATTTTAAAATGTTACTGCTGGATGCACATAGAACACAAAAATGCATCAAGAAAAGATGATTATTTTTCTAAACATCATTTATGGGTAAATCTTTCATGGTATTTTTTTGTTTTCTTTAGATTTTCTCAAGCAGACCACATATGAAGTTGAGGCGTTCTTAGAAGCCATTCAGTTCTTCCGGCAGGAGAAAGGCCACTATGGAACATGGGAAATGATAACCGGCAATGAAAAAGAGGTAAAAAAATATCTTCCTGATTTTGTTTTGGCTTTGGATATGGCAGCTCTGAGGATAATGAAGGTTGTAAAGCCTCTTGGGAAAAAAATGTTGGTTTTTAGAAAAAAATATATTAGGTAGAAATACCCAAGATTTCAGGATAGTTCTTACAGAAATGTAAGTGACATTTCTTTTCTAATAAGCCCCATTTTGAGGTTTTTTCTAAAAAGTGGAAGTGTGCTGTGAACTAAAGTTGTTGTGTTGTGCTGGAATGTAGGGATAGCCACATTTCCACAAAAGACATACATCTACTTTAATTTTACGCTACGGTGTCAACTGGTGAATAAATACTGTGTCTAAAACCAAGGGACTTGCTAACATCTCGCTACCATGTTTGCTGGTGTTTATAGTTTTGGTAAATCAGTGAGACCAAAAGCAATACACACCAAACTCAGAGCCCATGGGTTGTATGCAGCAGAATCTTGCTGTCAGCTGCATTGGGCATTTTTCTCTCTTTCATGACAGCTATTTTCTAGGTAAGAGTTATTTTTTTCTTGTGTTGCTATTACCTTTGCTACTAAATACAACAGTTTGCTTGTCCTCTAGTGTCTCTGGATGCCGTTGCAGGAGATCAGGCTTTATGAAAAACAGAATAGCAGCTACACATAAATCTTGAAGAATCTCTTCATTTTGCTTTTTCCCATTCTTTGGGAAGGAAGTGTTTAGTCCTGAGCAGATAAAATAGTAGTAGACCTACTTACTGTGCCAGACTTCTGAAACAGTCTTGCATAGTAACAGTCACACTCAAACACCAAAAATTTGTGTACTTTAGTTCTTTGGAAATGAGATGCTAGGCCCAGGGTCCGCATCTGTGATTGGGCACCAGAATGAGCAGCTTTGGAGCACTTGATGGTAGCTGAACTAACTCTACCGATCCCTCTGGCATCACTCAAGATGTCTTTTAGTGCAATCGAGACATTATTTGGTCCCTGATTTATAAATTTTTTCCAAAGCACTTAGCAGCAAATATTTACTTTAGTACCAGCTGCTGGGTGTTTTCCTTGACGAAATCTGGCTTCCCTTTGGGAAAATGGAAGAAAGCCTGATGGAGAGTTCAGGATCCAGGGTTTTGCTTTAAGAAACCAGATTGTTCTTTTAGGAGATGTCTACCTTTGAAATGCTGAAAAATGTGGCAGTTGGAGAAGAATCTATAAACAGTGTCTTTCCCAGTGCCAGGGACTAAAGTTTCCTTCTAACATCTGATAGTAAATTTGTTAGTATAAGGAGTTATATCCTTCCAGTGGAGGGACTGAAGGCTTTTCTTTTCTCCCCTCCTCCCTCAAGTTATGCAGCTATTATACTGCTAGTTTCATTTTATGTTTTGTTTTTCCTATTGCTCACCAACTACTTATAACCCATATACCTCAAGAGAACTGTAATCAGAAGACATCCAGACTAGTTATGCTATTATCTTCTTAGTAATAATTCTGTAACTATAGTGTGTTCTCATGCCTGCTTTGACCAAGTAGAATAATTATTTTAGGCAAATATCCAAGCTAAGTGAACGGTTTGGAACAAGCAAGCTACAATTTGTTGCTGCAAAAATCTCTGCAGAATGCCAATAAATATTCCCTGACATTCATTTATAATGACAGAGTCTCCACAGCATTAGCTCACGCAGTTCTGCCTAGGTTCTGCAACATAGATATATATATTCGCAAGTACCCAGTCACTCGGCTGAAGACCTACTAAATTTTTTTGTGTCATAAAAGCTCCTTTTCTTGGTTTTGTTTTTGCTCTTTCGTTTTTAAGTTTCCATTACTAACAAAGGATAAATTCAATTGTAGATGGTACTTCTTTAGGTAAGTGCTGAAATACAGGGTTAAAACCAGGAAATTTTTGACAACGCTTGTTAGAAGCAACAGTACAGCCTCAAAGCTGAGAGCACTACAGCACACCAATTTTATACTAGCATAACTCCATTGATCTACATGAATGTGGAAATAACATATTGGTAAATCAAGAATAGATGAATAAAGGTTTTAAAAACCCCAAACCTCTACAGTGCACCTTTCAGTACAGAAATATAAAGCCAATCCAACATTCCTAAAAATGTTTACAGAGAGCTCAGATTCTTAAGAATATATTTGATCCCTTGTCATATATACTATTTGGTCTGCGGTGCTCCAGTTTGGGTTATTTGTAAGATTTTTTTTAAGTCACCCATTTGTTTAGAACTTGAATTAGTCGATTGGTTTTGACAGGTATTTGAGTCAGCATAGCTGAATTTGAGTGGTTCTGTGGCATGATCTATAAGTACTGAAGTTACATGAAACAACAATAATAGGGTATTGCATATCATAGGTATGTTAGAGGTATAAAGTATTGTGTGTTATATTTCTGTAGGGACTGTCTTATGCCCAGAAAGTACTGTTTTACACAATGTGGCATGCAGTCAGAACCCTCTTACTTTTGCTGTCTAAATTCCTGCTATTTCCCTATTGTGTTGTTGGTGCATGCCTAAAACCCTCTCAGGCAGCTGTAATACGTGAGGTTGAATGTCAGGAAGCACTGGCATGAATGATATGGTACAAATGAAAAAGCACTGGCATGATGAAATGTAAAGTTAAGTGGTGCTTTTGCACTCTATATTGGCTCAACCAGCAGCTGGGTGCATCAGAGCAGTGATTCTTGGATGAGGACCCTGCTGGGCTATTGTTGAAAGCCAGGAAAGGGCTTGGGTTCAAATATGCATTACTTAGCAAAAGCTCTGTTCAAGCCTTGCTGGAAAGGAAGGAGGACTACATACATTGCCTGTGAGACTTTACTGAAGCTGTTGAGCAAGCTAGTAATCCTTTATCCAGAGTAAATGAGAAATGTACAGAACCTTATGATACATTTTGTCTGCTTTTTAATCTATGGTTACTATGTGTCCCTGTGATTTGCAGAATATCCACTGCACTTGAGAGCTTTCAAGAAGCTGTGGACAACCTCATGTGTGCTGTACAGTCAGGACAGATAAAGAGCCTTGAAAGGGTTATGTGCTGTTCTGTATAGCACGTGCACGATAGTATTGCCTCTGTCATCATAAATTGGCAGCAGGGCTTCTGTAACTGTGGGCCAGTACAAACATACCCAGGCAAGATCTATGAACAGAAAACAAACACGTCCAGAAATAAAAGATGTCCCTCCCTGCTCTGAAGCATGAGGATGAGTAATTACTAAACCAAATACGGAACTGAGGTCTTCAGTTAAAAATTGAGATGCTTTAAGTAGAGAAATTCAAGAATCCAGCATATATCCCCAGCACTGATAAATGCCTCCATAAGCAATGTGTTCAGAGACCTGAGATTGCAAAGAAATAGAGATAGGGCAGGTTCCATGATGAACTGTTTCCCTCTGCTTGCATAGTTTGCCTTATTGACCAACAGCAAGAGGAAAGCGCAGGAGAAAGAGACATCTTTCTGGCTTTCTCAGGCCAGAGATACAGTGTCCATCAATAAAAAAAAAAAAATGGAGAGAAAAGCCTAGACTCTCCAAATTAAATGTGTGCCTGTAACTCTGTATTTATTCCCAGATTGGTGCATCTGAGTGGGGTGGGCAAAGAAGAAGTTGTAGTTCAAATCTAGGCAGAGGAGGTTCAAAGCCTGACAGAATGGTTAATTCTGAAGAAAACTCCTGAAATGTGTGCCAGTGAATGAAAGCAGGAATCTGTCTCAATCCATTTCATTCTTTCTGTATGGAAGAAGCCAGACTTTGATTATTCTTCTGTACAAAGTTGGGTGATGCTATCAAGAGAACTACAGAACTGTTGGGAACAGTTGAGTTGAAAGGGGAGCTCTGGAGGTTATCTGACCCAATCCCCCACTCAGAGCAGAGCCAACTTTAGGAGTTTTGTGCAATTGAGTTCTGAAGCTATCCAAGGTCGGAAATAGGATGACTTGTTTCCATGACTGCCCTCATGATGAAAAATATTTCTTAATACCTGATTACTCTTTCCCTTGTTGCTGCTTGTAACCATCACCTTCTTCCTTTCCCTGTGCATTTCCAAGAAAAGTCTGGCTCTGTCTGCCCAACATCCTCCATTATGTAGTTGTAGACAGCAATAAGGTCTCCCCTGAGCCTTATCTTCTTAAGGCTGAGCAAACCCAGTTCCCTCTGCCTTTTCTCAGTGTCATGTGCTACATCCCCTGATCATCATGGTGGCCTTTCCTGGACTTACTTCAGTGTGTCAAGATCTGTCTTGTACTGGAGAGCTCCAAACTGGACACCACTTCATATGCAGTCTGACAAGTACTGAATAGAGGGGAATGTTCTCCTCCCTTGACCTGCTGTTGCCCTTTGCTGCAGAGGCACCCTGCAGGTCGATGTTGAATTTCTTGTCCACCAGGATGCCCAACTCCTCTTCTGCAAAACTGCTTTCCAGACAGTTATCACCAGTCTATACTGGCACATGGAATTTTTGTCCACCCATTTCTTCAGCCCATCTAGGTTCCTCTGAATAGCAGCCATGCTTGCCAGCGTATTGACCACTCCCCTAAATCTGTATCATCTCTGTTCCCAGTGTAATGTCTTTTCTTTCAATTGGAACCATCTGCAAGACCAAATTGCCAGTTGAATGCTGGGATCAGAGAGAGTGATGCATCTCTTCTGCAACCACTGAACCTCTTTCAAAGTCAAAACGTTTTTGAGGGAGAAAAGTACTCAATGTCAATTTAGAAAAATACAGCAGTGATAGACTGACAATATACTTAAAGCAATAATAAAAAAATGGAGCAGTGATATCTTTTCCTCAGTTTTCCTACATTCCGTCATGAACGTTTGATGTGTAGAGGTCCCTCTGACAATTTTCTTCCTCCTGTCTATCTGCTGTAGTGTACCTTTGTCACAGACTTAGGTTATGTATTTCATGGGTTTTGTTCAAGAATCTGGAGGTGTTGGCAGGAGACTTTAATGTATATGAATTCTACAATGTGAAAGTTTTATTGGTTTTAGACCAATATTGTTGTCTTTTAGTGACAAAAGAAATTCCTTGAAAAGTTTTTCACAAACTCCAATAGATATTTAATTTATCCCTTTTGCCTCAGGATTAGGCTGGACCTAATGAATCTTTTGGATCATGTTACACATATTTGAAAAAAAATCAGATAGAGTAGAATTATTTGATTCACAGATTACCCACACTTCTGGGTTCTGTTTCAGTCCTATATCCTATTTTTTCTGGGATCATCTTCTTTTCTTATTTGAATTGTGAAGCTGATGCTCACCTGAAAAAGTGCGAGAGATTCATGTTGGTACAGTCGTATCCTTCTTTTCTTGGCCAATTCTATTCCTATCAGAAGCATCCTTTGTCTGATGAGTCTTTAGAACAATTTCTCTTCAATGATACCTCCTCTGGGAGGGTGTGAGTGTCCCAGAACAAGGTCAGTTTGGGGAAGCAGCAGTCAGCAAACCAACTTTTTAAATGTTTTTGATCCAGTTGCTCAGGTGATATAAATCATTTTAGCTTCATTGATTTTCACATGGCAATGTCATAATGGCATGCAGTAAATTTTAATGGGCATCTTAGTTCAGCATCTTAGTTCATCTGTTGTCAATTGTTGCATGGTCTCTCAGTCTTTCAGTGAAAGATGCTTCAGATGAAATTCATGGAGCTTCCCTCAGACATACCTAATATTTTTAATTTGGTCCTCCTGGCAACCTGGGATGGCTAAACCATTGTATATTTGAGGTTGATTGTATTTGCATGTCACTTTGTGATGCGAGTGCTCAGTTTTCAGATGAAGAGCAGAGTGTCAACATGTATTTTAATCTTCTAACTATACAGATCCTGAGCAATCTTGTGATGGAGGAACTCCTGCCTAACCTTCAGACGATGATTCTACCTAAAATGAAAGGAAAGAGGAATGACAGGAAGCGAGCCTGGTTTGGTGTAAGTACTGATATTTGCAGGCCAGTTGTTTCTCGTAGCAGTTGTCTGTGTGTGCTGATTCTGATCTATGCTTCTTAATTTAATTTGGTTTTAGATTGTAGAAGAAACTTATGGCCTAGTCCTGCAGCAGGTGGCAGAAGGATTAAGTACCTTGAAAGAAGAATGCAGAGATTTTGCAAAAACCCTTGAAGGAACCATTCGTTCAGACATGGATCAAATTCTGAACTCCAAAAACTTCTTAGCTGGAAAAATCAAAGGTTAGTGGAGGAACAGCTGTGTTTTGGAGCAATTTTTTAATGTTTCCCATTATGTTGCTTAAATCACCAGATGTCATTGTTTTGAAATCCTCATGTGTTTTGAAAAATCAAACTGAAGACACTAATTTTCAAAAAACCAAATGCTTTGGGCCTCTGCTGCCTTTGATGGGAAATGATACCTGTGGCCGTTGTGTCTGTGAAGATTCTAGGTCTTCTCAAGTTGGAGCTAGAGCTGACAGGTTTTGAATATTCTGACAAGAGTTGCTCATTCTGCTTTCATTGTCATTTGGACAGCCTTATGTAAGAAAGATACAGGTCGCATAAACATAATTAAAAGTGTAGTGGTTTTTGCCTGATGTCTAGGAATGTGCCACAAAACCAGGTTCTGGTTCTGTGACAAATTCATAGCCTTCCAAAGAACACTTAAACCAAAGGGCTTCTTAGGTGGTTTTAAACTAATGTGAAGTAATTATAATTTTTCTATGAATAGAAAAATGAGTGCAAAAAGCAGGCAAAACACAAGTTGGTGTTGTTTAAACGACCAAATAAATAGCTGATAATTTAGGAGCTGTTTTAAGAGAACTCAGAATGTTCTGTTGATATTCTCACATACCAGACTAGGATGCTTTCAGTGAACTGTAGAGTACCAAGTTTGGAGGTCTCCTCATAGAGTCACCTTGGGCATGCTCTGTGCAAACCTCCCAGTATGTATCAATAGTTAAGAGCTGCCCTTTCCCCTGCTCTCACAGTGCTCTCAAGCTGCTGGCGTTTGGTTAGGTGGGGCATGGGAAAAGATATTTCACTGTCACTCCTAAAACTATAAACTCTCATCACCCTCATCATCTTTGCAGAAGTGTGACTCCAGGGAAAAATACAGAATCAATGAATTCATTGTAAAGTAAATCAGTTCAGATTACTTTTTTCACTGTATCTCTTAGTAGCCTAAACGCAAACGTATTTTCTGACACTCCAGCCACTGTTTCTGAGCCTGCCCAGAAGTGCTGCACAGAAAATATCCAGCCATTTCTCACATCCATATTAGAGGAGCTCATGGGTCCGGTGAGTTCTGGATTTGCTGAAGTCCGCTCACTTTTTGATAAAGAAGTTAATGAAATCATCCAGGACTTTCAGAAGACAAATGATATCACAAAGCTAAAGGAGGTAAGACATGAATATATTTGGAGCCTTTTATATTAGCGTAAGCACCTTCTAGTTAGAACTTGACTGACAGTATTTGGCTTTCCCAGGTGACAGTGTGTTAGCACTTAGTTTTGTCATTTAGAAAGTCTTGTGGTATTTGTGCAGCTGCAGTGTAGATATCAGAATTTGATTTAGGGCCGCTGTTACATTCTCTACTAAAAAATTGCCTCTGGTTGCTTTCTCTTGAAACCTGTTCTTCTTCCACTGGAATGCAGAATGTGGATCAGCTTATGAACCTACCATTCAACTCTGCGAAAATGGAGCCCTGCTATCTGAAAGTGAACCTCCTGCAGGAGCTCCTTCAAGACCTCAAGAGTCGCTTCAAGGTCTATCACATTGATTTTGTGATTCAGAGGACACAGAACTTCATGCAAGAGGTACTGTAAGATCCAGTTTTTCCTCCTGGGAGAACAGGTTAGGTTTGTCTTTCTAATTTGCTTCAAAGTGATCTTGATAAAAAGCTGTGCAAAGGACCCAGAATATCTCTTAATCAAAGTACAGATAACAAAAACTAAGAAAATCACAGCTAGAAGCTGTTTGACATTTATATTTGTGAGGTTGCATGTGTGTCTTTCAGCAAGGCAGAAAAATTTTGGGTGGATTGTTTCTCCTGAACTTTCATGGTCGGAATTCTTAGTGTCTCAGCATCCAAGAAAGTTAGGCTTGTAACCAATGGCATGGCTAAAATCTACCTGATTTCCATTCTTGAGGATTGATTTTTCAGGAAGGGTCTTAAAAATATTATACTGAAATGGAATGTCTCCTTCTTGGTAGTTTATTTTCCCATTAATATAAAGTAAGATAATGTTAGCAGCTGACAATTACTTACACACAGATGATGTCTCAGGATGTAGCTGCATGTATGTTCTTTAACCAACTTCACTTCTCATGGGAATGGTTCAGGTGACTACATCATTTGATGAACTCCACCTCTTTTTCTCCATTAGTGTGTATTGGTACAGGCTATAATTTTGCTTTGCTTTTATTTTGTCTAGATGCCTGGCCAGAAATCTATTAGAAGCTGGCCAGCAGACTTCTTTTGATTGCCAGGCCTTGTAGCTCTATGTTGAATCCTGTGATTTTAATTCATAGTTGAGAAACTAAATAATCTAGTTGTTAATCTTGTGAAATGGAGTTGATCCAGTTTTATGTAGTGGGAGTTATGAATATGGAAAGCAGGTTTTAGCACAGTGCTGGCATTGGGTTTTCCTAAAAAGCAGCTCCTCTAAGTACAGCCATGATCAGCAGCCAAAGAATTATTCAGAAATAAATTTCTAATTTCGTGTCTGGGTCTTTCAGGGGGACCATTCCAAAATGCTGCCAAATAAAATGTCTTTCAGTAAGTGAAGACTGTAAGTCAAGACAAAGAAGTAGAGTGAAAATAGATACAAACCAAGTGGTGTTTTTTTTCTACACAGGAGTCAAAATTCACAATAAATAAGTTAAAGCACAAGTTGTTCTGAAAATGCTGTTATTGCTTCTCTCTCTTTAAAAGGCTGGTATCTAAAAATGTTGTCATTGCTTCTCTCTCTTTAAAAGGCTGGTATTTTTCTCATAAAAATAGTAAGTAGTTTCACTTTGTGTCCATGAGCATTTATTTTATTAACGAGGAAGGTCGGGCATGTCTATGCTGGTGTAGTCTTAATTTAAAAGAAGCATTTGGTTTAACTGTAACTCGGGAGGAGGCTGGAGCAGGATTTCTTGGTTTGGGAGTTTGGCATCCTCTAGTGGCCAGTTTTAGGAAATCTGGGAGCACAGTGCTCAACTGCCATAAATAAATAAAGCAGCTTTAGTGACTTCACCAGAAGTACACCAATTTACAAATCTCTTCAAATAAAAATTTAAATTAAAACTGAGTAGCTCATCTTTTAATTATCTTTGGATTTAACTCTGTGCTGATCCTGTCTTTTTCTTGTGTCCAAGGTCTTGCATTGCATGAGTGTTTACAGCCTCCTGATGCATGCACAAATTGAGTAAACCTCTATCTTCTACGTTTCCATTTACAATTACAGTCTCTATAATCCAATCTTACATGATCTTCAGTCAGTTAAAAGAATTGTCTTTCAACCTTTGTCCCCTAGGCAAAGAGGTTTTAAAAACATGTCTTATCCATAAGTATGCATGTATGGCTGTCTGTATATCCACTGGGGTGGTCCCATGTAATGCAAAGGAAGACCCAGCTGTATGGACAGCCTCCCTGTACTTCTCCAATAACAATATATTAACATTTGAATGGAAACACTTAACTAAAAAAAGCAAAACCTCATTAGGTAGACACAATTACCACTTGCAGAACTGTTTTTCTGAAATACCTTTTCAGTGTAGGGGGTTTAATGTTTTTAATAAAACTCTGGATAACCTGAAAATGTAGCAAATGCTAGCCTAACATAATTCTGTGTGAAGTTATTCCACTCTGTGAAATTTTTACTGATAATTATTTGTATTATAAGGAAAGCTACAGATAACTTTCTTTTAAAAAAAATATCTGCAGTATTAATGATTAAGATGATTAGAATCTGGTAGGAGTCAATGGGAGTCTTCTCACTGGGGATAAAGAGTTTTGTCTGTGGCCTTTATATATATGTGATTGATTCTACTTTTTGTCACCATCAGGTTGGATGGTCACATGAGAGTAAATCTATACAAGAAAGCCATGATAGCATAATAATGATACTAAGTCTTAATTTCCTTTATTTATTGCAACATTCCTGTGCTTGCTAACCTTCAGAGAACTGAAATACATCAGAAAATCTTTGGTCAGTATAAATTAATCTACTCCAAGTAAGTTTGCTGGTATAACTGTTTGTTTAGTTACATTAGCAGACTTTCTAGTATTGACCTGCCTGTAAACTCCAGATAGAAGTTGAGGTAGTTTAATTTTCTTATTCTCTTGTGTTGAATAATATTCTTTTGAGTTTCCCATTCCAAAACTGAGCATTGCAATCTAAACTAAACAAGGCTTTTCTTCCCCTTCGACAATAAAGTACTTGAAATATTTATTGATTTTAGGCCTGTTACTCTTTCTCCATTTCATCTTCTCAAAAATACAATTTAAGTTAACACATTTATCATGCTTCTTTACATATGTGGGATTTTTACATTACTGGTCTTTAACAGATTTTTTAAATTATTGTTTTTAGCTGATGGAAAATGCAGTTTATACTTTTGAGCAGTTGTTCTCTCCAAGTCGCCAGGCAGACTCAGCAAAAGTTGCAACAACTATTGAAAAAGTCAAGCTGAGAGTTTTGAAGGTAAATGTAATGCAGCAGCATTTGCACAGGAAGACCTTTGGGTTTGCCTTTTTGGAAATGGAGAATATATTTTAGGTGAATTTATGTGAATTTATCTCATAAATATATCTCTTACCATTAGCTGGAAACACTGATTTGATGGCATGTAGCAAAGCTGCTCATTTGGGGGGTTAAACCTAGTTCTGGGCAAACACTTGTAAAAGTATTTACATGTTGCAGTCCCTTTAATTGCAGTTAAATCATCTGGATATGATGCTGTGGATCTGGGTAAAAAATTTTTTATTAGCTTTAAAATAGCCTGCCCCTAGAATTCATTACTCTTGGAAGAGGCAGTGCGGAAATACCTGGAGACAGCAGTCAGGGGGCTGTTTCTAGGTATAAAAAAAATAAGGGAAAGAGATCCCAGAAAACTAGATTTTGGAGTATTTTTGTAAAAGCTGGAATAACCTGCATGAGAATTCAAACCCCTGAGTGGAGCCATGATGTGGTATCCTTCGGGATTCACCCATCACGAGTTACACAACAACAAGAACCAGTTCTTCCTATGAGTGATTAATCCAAAACACGTTTGGGCTTGTTTCTCTTTTTGTCTGTTTTGACAGCAATATGATTATGACAGCAGCACTATCCGGAAGAAGATATTTCAAGAAGCACTGGTACAGATTACTTTGCCCACAATGCAAAAGACACTGGCTTCAACGTGCAAACCAGTAGGTTTCTGTGATTTACAAACAAAAGTAATAAAAGGCAGGGAAGGATTAATACCTTACAGTAAATCCTCAACTCTGTAAAGCTGTTTTCTCTCAGAGTCTCATGCTGATTGGCTGCCTTCTTGGCCAAATGACACTTAGATTTGCCAGCTTGTGGATTGGGTAGATGTGGAGCATAAGAAAGATTTCAGGAAAGAGGGAAACTGTAATATACTTGTTTTTCTCAAAGATAGTTGCAGACCTTTGCCCATCCCCATTCCATTTCTTCCCTAGAGATCTGAAGTCCCCTCAAACTGGACTCCTCTCGACAGTAACGATTGTAGGTTATGAGCTTGGCCTTATGTTCAGCAGCCCTGCTGCAGGCTGAAATTCAGTCTGTGGGAGAGGGCACTTTCTTCTTGAGCAGCATGCCAAGGCACAGCTGTGACCATGCACCTCCCTCAAAGCCAAGTGCTTGCTTGGGCAGCATGAGCAGCAAGCAGACAGACTGCGCACTCGCCCTCAGTGATTTTAAATGGAAGTAATTGCATCAACAACCAGGAAACAAACGTTTAGACACGATCTCTGTTGCCCTTAATGATATGAGTAGGTTAGTACTCAGCAAATTTGGCTACCAGAGTTTTGTGGAGATGTTATCAATGTGGCTACATCAGAGGCCAGTTGGAATGCTGTTCACTTTGGCTCAAAATAGTCTGTACCCTTCTTGAAGCCCATGCATATCCTCTTGCATTTTCACCCTACCCGCTAAAAGATGACTGCCCTAAGCCATCCCAGCCCCTCTGCCCTTTTGTTTCCCTTGATGTTCATCAGTTTCTGGAGGCTTAAAGCTCTCACCCACAGTGTGCTGCTCTGGCTGTTGCTCTCCAGCTTGTTTCAGCTTCAAAACCAAGTTTAAAACCAAGTATTTTGCCAAGTTATACTTGCAAGTCTTTGTGTATGGATTATTAAAACTTACAACTTTAAAAATTATATTTAAAATCACTCTTCTGTATGTCACTCTAATATCCCTCCAAAAATAGTCTCATGTCCAGTGTCAGCAGTGCCTTCAAGACATGGGGTCTATGCTCAAGGGCAACATTTCATCACCCTGAATATATGTAGAGAGTGTGGAGTCTCACACTGTGTCTCTGTCCTACAGGACGGAGGAAGCAGTGGTGGTGCAATCTTCCCACAAGCTCTTTCTGTTTAATTTCCCACAAGCCTTTTGCATTTGTACCTCTGCAAAAATGAGCAGTCAGCTCTAGAAGCAAATGTATGGCACAGTTGACATGTCCAGCCAAGTTTTTACTTGAAAACATCCAGATGTTTGTATGTAGGTGCCTCTTCTAGAAGTAGGCACAGGTCACTTAATTTACCTTTTATAGGCCACCAAACAGCTGCTTAGTGATAATGACTCAATTATTGTCTGGACAGTCTAATGAGTATAAATCAGTAAGCTACAAATGTTACACACCTATTAGAAAAACAAAACCAAACCCTGTCTCTCCCACGCTCACTGTGGACAGTGAGTGAGATGTTTCCTCACCAGCTATTTATTTCAAAATTGTTTCTTATAGTGCAGATGGCAATGTTCTATAGTTCATTTAAATGTAATAGTAGTGCAAGAATTCTGTTTGACAATTGCATAATAAATTGTGAACATACATAGTTCATTTAGTCATAGTTCAAATAGTTCATCTCAAGAGCCATTAAGGAGCATTGCAAGACATGCTAGATGGCATCTCCATGGTGCTGTGTTGAAGTAGGACTCAGAATCTCTCATTTTTATATATCTGTTCCTTTTTTCTCTATCTGCACAGGAGCTACAGAAATACGAGCAGTACATTTTTGCTGATTACACCAGTGTGATCCAAGTAGAGAACGTATATGAAGAGATTTTATATCAGACACTGCTTGAAGAAACCTTGAAAGGTGAGGACATTCTTGAGGTGGCAGTAATAACATTTCAGCTGTTGGTCCAGGAGCTCTTGCTTCAGAGCTTCCCAGAGTCCTAACCTGGTTGTTTCAGACCCAGGTCCCACTTGGCCGCAGAGTGATGGTTATGATGCTAGTGTTTGGATTCAGATCACTAAAGCTGTGTGGCCAGCCCTAAAATCTGAATTATACTTCACCAAACCTGGGAAACTCAAGGTGATAGCTTGGCACAAGCCTATTTCTCACAAAATGTAGTTCTGCCAACCTCATTTTATCTTGATCCCTTGGGCCAAGGAGTGGAATTATGCTCTTATTTGCAAAGACTCAGTGATATCTAATGGCAGCAGAAATTAATTTCCCCAAATGAAATGTACTGCTGGATGCAGTTTCCTTTACATCACCGATGCCAGTGCAGTGTTCCCTGCAGATCTCTGCTTTTGTGTCAGAAAACGAAACTATTCTTGATGGCATATACTGATATATAAAATATTTGTATCTGTCTGGATCTGTCTGTCTATACCCCAGATAAAAGACAAGCATATGTATTGCACAGTAAGTGTTAACAGACCCTATATATAATAATTAGTGTAACAAACACACTTTCATATGTCCAGTGTAAATAATGCATCGAAACATGACCTCTGTGCATTGCAGGTCCTCTGGCAGTTTTCTGTTACATCAATGCTTAGGTCAATAATGATGTTGCATTATTCAGAACAGATAAACACACCCCACCCCCCAAGAAATAAAAAAAGCAAGCTGAGAATGAAAATTACTGTTGTCTGTAATATCAAAATATATAACATTAGAAACTCAGGCAAACAGTGTACCTTCTTCAAGGTACCCATGTCAGTTTTTCCAAAAGATTGATCTTTCTCTTTTATTTAGTGATAAAAGAAGCTGCCATTATGAAGAAGCACAACCTCTTTGAAGATAACTTGAATTTGCCCTCTGAAAGCGTGTCCAGCTTAACAGACCTGAAGACCCCTTCAGGATCAGCACAAACCACACCTGCGAAGAAGCCTTCCACTGCCCGAGCCGAGATGTCAGACACAGAAACTCAAAGTGATGAAACACTCATTGTGATGGAAAAAATTTCTTGGGAGAAGAGTGCTGATGATAGAAAGTTATCAGACAAAGAAGCTGTCACTTCTGTTAGTACAGCTAGTGATCAGGCAAGCAAAACTGAAGACGTGGTCATTACGGACATCAGTGAAAATCTGGAGTCCCTTTCAGCTACCCTTACAAAACAGGAAGTTGCAGAGGAAAAAAGTGCTTTGGAGAATGAAGACATGGTGAGAACAGAGTTTGTAGTGAACACTGAGAAGGAGCTTAAGACACAAGTAGCTGTGGAGGAAAAAGTAACTCCTGGGACTGAAACTGCAGTGAAAGATTCTGGATCTAGCCCTAAAAAAGAACTTAAGGTAGATGAAGGAGCAGTGGAGGAGAAGGTAACTTCTGAGAGTCAAATGGCAATGGATGCTGCATTTGTGGGTGACACTGAAAAAGAAAACAAAGCACAGGAAAAAGTTGCTGAGATAAAACTGACTTCCCCAAATGATAATGTAGCAGAAGCAGAGATTTTAGGGAATGCTGTAAAGAAAATCAAGGTAGAAAAAGAAATGATGGAAAAATTATCTCAGAGCAAAAATGTAGGAACAGGGTTGAGAGAGACTAGTACAAAAGAAAGCAATGACCAAGGAGCAAATACTGAGACAAGAGTTATTTCCCAGAATGAAAACACAGGGAAAGGAGGGTTTGGGGATAATCCTGTGAAAGAAAGCAAGTCAGAAGAAAAGAATTGTAAATCCCCTGATGATGTGAATGAGATAAGGAGTTTGCTGATGGTAACAGTTGAGATACCAGCAGATACTCCAGCTGACAACATAAAGGAAATTTGTGAAGGTGAGATATTGAAGTTGCAAGAGCACAGCATGGGGAACAACGAGGTGAGCAAAATGGCTGCAGCAGAAATTCAAATGAGCCTGACGATGATGAATAAAGGTGCAGCAGAATGCATGGAGTTCAAGGAGGACCACCCATCTTCATCTAGTTTGGGGACAGATGGCACAAATTTAGTGAATGTGTCCAAGGAGGGCTGCAACATGGCACAAGCAGAATGGCTGGTGGAGAGCTCAGATATGCCTCAGGAGGCAAAGGCAGAGGTGGAGATCAAGCAAAGCATTTGGTACACTGGTGTGGGAAGCTGCAAAAGCGATAGCTTGCAGCCAGAGGAACACACTGAAAATGTGTCTGAAGGCAAAGGATTAGATGAGGAGGAAGGAGGAGCAGGGAATAGCCATGCCATCCTGGTGGAGGTAGGGACTGGGAGCTTTTTTCATAATCTTGCTGAAAGTGCAGACATAATGCAAGTGCCCGTTTTGGATGCAGAAAACCCAAGAACAGGACTGCTAGATGTGCTGGTTTCTTTGGTGCCAGGGCAGGGTGAGTTTAGCACCATAGAGGTCACAGGAGATACAGAGGGTGGTGAGGTTGAAGGGAAGCCAGAACATGAATCATCTTCACACACGGAAGTGAAAAGCACAGAAGCAAAAGAAGCAAAAGATATTTTCACAGAAGAAAACAGAGAAGATAGTTACGCACAGCAAAACTCTGAAAAGTAAGAAGCGTTTTTCAGCCCAGCCCTGCAGGATTTATTTACTCCAGTAATCCCTGTTTGCCTGTGAATGCTTACTTGGGTCTGGGCTAGAGGGAAGAGTCTTTGTTGTGGTGTTACCGGCTCTTGCAGTTTTAGCACAGATCCCTTCCTGACTGATGAATGATAGTTTCTTTTTGGTTAAAGCCCACACTGTTTAAAACCAGGCTACTGTTGGGGAACCTCATCTCTCACTTAAAATTTGCTACCTTTTATGGTTATAGAAAATGTGACTGCTGAATTCTTCAAAAGCAACTCACCCCCAACTGTAAAGCTATTTTAACAACTTAACTGTTCTTAGGTGTTTTAGCTCATGATTTTTAAAAGCATGGATTTGACAAGTACTGCTATGATTCTTAGGTGGTTGGTACATACATTGCTATTTGAGGATGCTTTTAGTATTTGCATGCAGTATACAGGAAATAAATGAAACTTTTAGTAAACAGAACCAAATAGTTAATGTAGTAGGTTGCTCAAAAGCCATGCTCTATGCAAACTCATTACTTAATTATTTTAAAGTTTTGACAGATACTAAAGACAAGCAAGTGGGGGGTTTTTTTGGGTTGTTTCTTTTTTTTTTTTTTCTCTTATTGCTATATTTAAAATGGGGAAAAGATGGGAACAGGTTTCTCAGTCCCACTGCACTTCTGGGTTATTTAGCCTTCCAGAGCACTTTACAGCTATTTTATTTTGTTTTATTTTATGGAAGGGAAAGATGAGAATGTTTACAGTAACTATAACTATTAGACAGCATCTTTCTGTTTTACTTCCCACCATAAAATATATTAACTTACGTGAATCTTAGAATTATCTAATACAGAATATTAAGAGTCCTGCCATTCTCATTGAGCTACCCAGTTCTGTAGGCCTTTTTAGGTGTGGAAATTATGTAATAAATTGCAATAATTGTGAAACAGCATAATCATTGCATATAATTTCTAATACAGAAGTTAACTAAAGCAAAAAGTAGCCAAAGGTTATTCACATGTGCTTAGATTTTGGAGGGCAGAATCACATATCAAAAGCAGTCATTAAAATGAGACCCACTGCTTTCATAGCTGGCATATTATCATCTGTGTCAGATCATGATCTATGCACAAAGTTTCATCTATGGGGTATTTGCATGCACAATTTACAGACTGTGCACAGAAAACCTGGGAAAGGAAAACCAGTATTTTAATAAATTGGGCTTTAGAGTTCAAGACCTCACTTTAGAAGTCAATTTAAGGCACCTTAAAATTTTGGACTGGTGTTTCAGACTGTTCCTGAATAAATATAACACAGTACAGGACAACAGAGATTAATGATAAATACAGTAAGGACTGCACGATTTACGCCCATAAAGACAAGGGAAGAAATAACGAAGTCCTGAGAGCATAATACTTGTTGGCATTTAACTTCAACAAATTGTACAAAGTCTTACTATTTAATGCTATCAAAATATACCATAATACTAACAGAGAATTGACACTAGAGGAACAGGCAAATATTACTGCATAAGTAAAGAACGTTGTTGAGTAACTGGACCAACTGCAACGTCACTATTGTAAAATAAACACAACTCCTATTTATTCCAGAAGCCATACTGTGGTACAGAAACATTAAGGTCACAGATGTTTTCCTTGCAAAAGTACTTTGACTAGTTTCTTCCTTATATTTTATGCAAAAATACTAATTTGTAAACACACAAACCACTGTCAGACAATTCTTTTACAAATCATTAGTTATTTCATTGTCAGCTACTTTGTTTTTACTAACCATTATCTATTTGTAATTGGTACTGAACGTTAAGTGACTTTATGTGTGCTTTGCAGTTAAGCAGCAACAGTCTCTTTTAGCCATGCTAAAATTAGGGGACATGACATTTTTTAGTACAGTGTTTTGTATGAAAGAGGACTAGCAAGACAGCAACTCTCTTCAAAAAAGGCTGCCATCTCCTACAAAAGCTGTTTACGGCCAGTATGAATTAGATAAATCTGTATAGAAAGTATTTAACATAAACATTCCCATTATGGTCATTTTTCTATGGCAGCCTTAGATCTGGGTAATATTTCCCTGTAATATTAAAGAATTGAGTCGTTGAATATGGAAGCTCAGCTTATTTGTTTTTCTCAAGTGGGATGGGAAAGAACAGTGAATATTTAGCCTGTACATCGCCTCGTTCTGCAATTTAAATTGAAGTTCCTCGTGGCCAGGGGATTGATTTTTTGCTTTTGTGGATATTTTCTGTGTATTCAGATATTTGCAAAAGGATAGAGTTGCATTTTTCCAGTCTGTAACCAGACTTGTGTAGAGGGGACAGCAATTTAGAGGTCAGCAACCTGCTAGGTTACACCGGATCATTGATCAAAAATTATAATAATGCACCCGTTCAGTAATTTTTGTCACCTTCTTGGAATTTCCTACACTTACCTGGAAGGAATTATTTCGCTTGTAAACTCGGAACAATAATAAATCGCCTTTTCCCGCCTGGAGGGTCGGGGGGGGCGGTACCTTGAGAGGAGAGGGCCAGGGGCTGTTACCGCCGTGAGATTTCACTGTGCTGTCACTTTGGAAGGACAGGGTATGAAACACATTGTATCTCGCTTATAACTGTAAAAACGCTTGTGGTGAAAATAAAAGCAGCTCTTCCTTCCACCGTGGGAGGTTGGTTTTGTGTGTCTGTGCGACAATATAAGTTGGGAGTTCCGTATTTAAAAAAAAAAAAAAAAAAAAAAAAGCATGTAATATG